GGGAGGCCCTTATCAAAATCCTGCAACTTGGTAGCTACAAAATCAATTTTTAAATGATTTATGTTATGTTCTTTAGGACCGAAGGCAGTAACTCATTCTCCCTGTGGCACTCAGCTGCCACTTAGATGTTGAAAAATGATTAATTTTTATTTACAGTGTGCCTCCCCTCCTATATCACTGGAAACAAGCTTTGAGAGCATAGCATTTCTATAGCATTAAATTATTAACTGAGGGAAGTCCCAGGCAAAGAGAAAAAAAATCTACTAAAAACCAAAGATCTCAGCATGCACTGAAATAATCATTCTGAAAAATTTTCAAGGCCAAATCTTCCCATCTATCTGGTTTAACGTATTTAACATAAGCAGCCCAAAACAGCTTCCCAAGAAGAGTCATTCTCATATCCAATCATATTACCACTAACTTTAACAATGAGAGGATAAAGAGTTTAGAATTCCTATGGGTTTTGCTCCTCCAGAAGACTGAATTCAGAAAGTTTCTAGAATTTGGTGCATGAAGCTTATTTCAACTTCATTTGAAATGTGTGCATTTGAAAAAATTGCTACAAGTATGCCTCTTCTGGGCCACGACATGCAGGTATTTCTTTCTTTCAAAACTGCAGAACAACTATATTTCCAGGCTACCTACTCTTCAGCTTGCCAGCCTGAACCCAATGTTACTATTACTCAGTCTATTAGTCCCTGAGGACCACCTCTACCTAGGACAAGGTTCACATTTTTCTCATCAACCATATCAACCCTAAAACTCCTCTAGCTCAGGGCTCACAGTAATTTGATAATAAGGGGCTACTGAGTATGTCCTTTGCACCTGGTGATCTTTAGGTTTGGGGTAAAGACCCTGAATAGCATGGAGGGAGATTAGGAACTACTCTGAGACCAGTGGAAAGAAGTTTGCCCATTGCTTCTCGACACTAGAAAAGTTAGAAGGCTGTGGAGAAGGGTACCTGCCATTTTATCTTCTACCATTGTCTAGGACAAAATTTCCCAAGGGAAGAGTTAGGAGCACTCAGCTTGGTCAATTACCAGCTCCATATTGCAGCCCATTCATGGATGTGTGTACATTTTGTACCACATCCATTGCCACAGTTCACTGCACACTCTCTCCTCATTGGGCTAATGATGTTGGTTAAGCTGCAGGTTGGTGCCTATAGATCACCATTTCCTGCATCATTAAGTATGGCCATATCCCTCCAGTGGGTTGTGAATGAAATCAGTACTCTGCTTCGCTCTCACTAACTTGGATGGTTTCAAAGCATGCTAGCTCATCAGTCAATGGCTTGAACTGGTATGACTAAGGATAAAACATCCTGTCAATACAAGTTATTTATTAAGGGCAGAGGCTGAGGGCCTTCCTTCCTGTTTTTAGTTTGTTTTGTGTATCGGATTCATCATTCATTAGCAAACTTTGGGAAGCCCAGTTCATTAGGTTTGCAGGGTAAAAATGTGGGCAAAACTATCTAAAATAGAGTAAAAAAAAAAAGAGGATTCTTCTACCACCATCAAATATTGAAACACTTACACTTATTAATTGGAATATAAGACAAGAAAACAAACGAGTAAGGGCTTTGCTGATGTATTAACAAGATCCTGGATCCTTCCCTTGCAGGAGAAAGACTGCATTTGCTTAAGTCACTTAGATGAGTCTTATGTCTCCAGATAACTTCAGCCATAACCCTTATCATTTGTAAGTGACAGAAGTAAAGGGATGGAGGCAGAAAGAATATATGGTCTGCTATCCCAGAAACTTAATAACATTTACTTAGTAAGTGGGCTTGTAACACAGACAAATGACCATTTTTTTCATTAACATTTTCCTACCATGCCACTATTCTGTGTACTTTTCTTCTTCTTGAGTCCTATAGTTGTTTCTAAGAAACACCAATCCAGAGGAAGACACTAAGTTCTCAACACACTGTATTGTAATTGTCTGCTTGGCCCCTCTCAGTTGTAAGTGCTGTGAAAGTGGGAAACATGTACCTTGACTGTCTGTCCCAGCCGCCATTGTAGTACCTGGCGTGCAGAAGGTATTCAGCAACTTTTTATTGAATGAATGAGAAAAAATGATAGAATCTGTCATTTATTAAGCACCTACTATGGGGTAGTGGTGCTAGGCATTTCACTAATCATATTTTGAATTCTCATAACAACTCGAAAAGTAGATATTATTTTTCTCATATTATAGGAGAAGAAACAGCTTCAGTGAGTTTCAGGCATGTGTCCAGCACACGGGGGACTGTGCTGCAGCGATTCCCTCCTCTGTGACAATCAGGGCCCTTCCCACATAGTTTCCTATGAGTGTCCTGGGACCAGTCAGCAGGATGGCAGGAGGAGACTCATGAATGACAGCTCACCTTTCCCACTGAGCGCTTATCTCTTGGTCAATGGGACGGGAGGGAGAAGGAAAACGAAATTAGGGAATTGTTGCGGGTGTTTCACATACTTTATCACATTGAATCCTGAAAATGAACTCATCATGCTGACATTACCAGTCTTATAATCAAATGAGTAATCAAAAGTTAGGAGATATCATATAGTATCACTTATATGTGGATCTAAAATATGATACAAATGAACTTATTTACAAAACAGAAACAGACTCACAGACATAGAAAACAAACTTATGGTTACCAAAGGGGAAAGGGGGTGCAGGAAAGATAACTTAGGAGTTTGGAGTTAGCAGATACAAACTACTATATATTAAATAGATAAACAACAAGGTCCTATGTATAGCACAGGGAACTATATTCAATATCTTGTAATAACCTATAATGGAAAAGAATATGAAAAAGAATTTATATATATGTGTATAACTGAATCACTTTGCTGTACACCAGAAACTAACATAACATTGTAAATTAACTATACTTCAACTAAAAAAAATTAGGAGAGAGAAATGACTTTCTCCAAATTCCAGGCCATGGTGCATATGGTGTAGGTACTAAAGATGAAGGTTCCTGGGCCCTGTCCCAGACTCACTAAGGTGGAATTCCTGAAAAATGGGCCCAGGAATCTGGAATCTCCATTTTTGCAACTCAATAAATAGTCCTTAATACAACCTAAAGTTTGAGAAGTGCTGTACTATGTCCATCTGCCTCTCAACGCACATTCTTGGGGCAAGAAATTTTTCATGCATTTGCACAATACTAGCAGCCAGATGGTCTATAAATAGAACCACCCCTTTAGCAAACATTAGGGTTGCATTTGCAATTCAGAATACAGGGAATGCCTTGGTAGCCCCCATTAATGTTAATGGGAATCATGTGGCTAATTCTCTATATTCCATGCTGAAAAGTGTTCCCTTTAGAACCAGGAGAGGCTATATTTAATCAAACCATCTGGATTCCTATGCACATGTATAAGGGCAAAAAATAGGTCACAGTTAGTAAGCTACTTTCTGCAAACTATTCCATTGTATCAACAAGCTCCAAAGTCCTGAGAGGGTTCCTGCTCTCCTGCCTCCCTCAGTGGGTGACAGTCCCAGAGCCAAGGAAGGTCAGAGAGAGGGCAAACTTTAAGGAAAAAGAGTTTCAATAGCAAGAAAACAAAAGCAAATCATCCCCTAAAGATAAAAGTATGGAATAAACTTGTTACAAACTATTAACCTCTCCAAATAACACATTTCTACTCCAAAATAACCTCGCTTGCTGCTTAAGGAGAAGCATGAGATTAAGAAACACAATTTAGAGAGCATGAGAGCTCCAAATATGAACTCAGGTTGTCCACGAAACTTACAGACACTCAAGTTCCTGGGAAAACCACGATGATGATGGGTCTATGACCAGGAAGAGAGTCAGGCAGCCTTCACAAGCCTTTGAGAACTCAATTCTATTACTGACTATTTCTATTATAGGAGAGACGTTATAGAACTGTGTGAAGAAGTTTAAAGCAAGAAGAGGATTTATTGAGCTCAGTCTGGATATGAACTTGAGCTCTGTCAAGTCTCGGAGCAGGAAGCTATTGATTACAAGGGCCAGGAGGGCCAGTGGGTCCTGGGCTCTTATAGTTCAGTAGATCAGAAGTCCTATGTCAGTGTCCACAGGGCTGTGTTCCTTTCCGAAGCCGGTAAGGGAGAATCTGTTCTGTTGCCTTCTCCACCTTCTAGTGTCCACCCACATTCCCTGGCTCACAGCCCCTGCCTCTATCTTCAAACCCAGCAATGTCGTATCTCTCTGACTATTCTTCCACAGTTACATCTGCCTCTGATTCCAGACAGCAAAGGTTCTCTGCTTTTAAGAAGCCACATGATTAGACTGGACCCACTGGGAAATCTAGGATTATTTTCCCATCTCAAGGTCCTTAACTTAATCACATCTTCCAAATCCACTTTGCCAAGTAAGGTAACATATTCAGAGGTTCTGAGAATTGGGACATGGACATCTGTGTGTGTGTGTGTGTGTGTGTGTGTGTGTGTGTGTGTGTGTGTGTGTTGGGCATTATTCTGCCGACCACACAGGGTAAGAGGTGGTGAAGAGGGAGGTTCCCAGAGGTTCGAAGGAGCCCAGATAGGAAGCTAGGAGGAGGCTATCCTTATGGGCCTTCAGGTTGGTGCTATCTTTCCAGGACCTTTTAAGTAGTTCAGGCTGGTTTTCTTTTCTTTTCTTTTTTTTTTGCCTGCGCAGGATCTTAGTTCCCCGACCAGGGACCGAACCCGCACCCTCAGCAGGGAAAGCACAGAGTCCTAACCACTGGACCGCCAGGCTGGTTTTCTAAAGATCCCCTTTTCTTTATCACCCTCACCGCTACCACCATCGTTCTGGCCCATCCCCTCTCACCTGGATTATATACTCATCGTTCCTCACTGGTCCCCTAGAGTCCTACGTCCAAACCTGCCCTGCCCCAGGCTAATTCTCCATGTAGCAATCAGAGTAATTTTTAAAAACACAGTCATATTATGCCACTCCGATGTTCAAAACCCTTTAATGTCTTTCTCTTACACTTAGAACAAGCCTCCCAAGCCCCTCACCATGGCTGACAGAACCCTACCTGGCCTGGCCCAGGACTCTTCTTTGATCTGCTCTCACCCTCCTTCCCGTGGTCACTGGGCTCCAGCAACACTGCCTCTCTGCTGTTCCTCAATCTCCCCAGGCCAGCTCTCTCCTAGGCCTCTGCTGCACCTGGAATGTTGACTCCAGATCTTTGCATGATGTGTTCCCTCCTCTCTTTCCTGAACCAGATGAGACATCATCTCCTCAGAGAACTTCTCTGACCAACCTCATTAAAATACCAAGCCCTTCCTTCACTCTCTATCTCCCTAGCTGATGTATATATTTATTTTTCAAGTTCCTTATCACTGCTTGACGTTGTATTTCTTTGTTGATTATTTGTTTCTGCCACTAGAATGCAGAAGTTACCTGAGGGCAGGGGATTCCCAATGAGCCAAGAACAGTGCCTTACACATTAAATATCTGTGTATTACATAAAGATTTAATTCAACACGTATTTGTCGAGCACCAATATGTAAAAGACACTGAGATACAGCAGTGAAAAAGGCATACGGTCTGCCCTTTTCCCTCAAGTGTCCCACTGATTGATTGGTTTTCCTATCCAGAGTCAACTTTTACTGATGCCCAAAGTTTACTTTTTAATTCCCATTTCCCTCTCATGGCTCTCCCCTGTTCTCATTCAGTCAACTTACATTTATTGAGCACCTAACCTAGATCCATAATAGGTCCCTCTCCCTGAAATAAGAACATCACGTTTGGGAGGTTTCTTTTGCTGGTGGCCATGATGAGAAGCAGATAAGGGGTAGGAAGTTTCTACGAAGATTCCCGCCTCTAATCCTACACACCTCTTCTTTTTCTCATCCGAATTCATCTGCAAAGATGAAAGCATCTTCACGTAATAACAGAAGCTCCCTAAAATAATCAAAGGGTTTCGGTAATGGGGGAGTCAGGAGACATGGTCCCAGCACCAACAATGCAGAGATTGTGCCATATGGACTGGATGAGGTCCCTGCAGACCTTGCCACATGGGTCTAGAGGTCACACTAGCTGACCCCCCAGCCAAATTAGAATAGGCATGCAATCCGAATTCCCAGCCCAGCCTAGGTGGCGGTATACCAGGCAATGCCATTTTAACATGTTCCACTTCTTGTTCATCATTGTGCTTGCAATTCCATGTTTTACTTAGAGAACATATGCTAAACAAATGTTTCTAAATTAGCCTGAGCTAATTTCACCTTTGAGCTCACTCTGCTACCACAGCCTATGGCAAATCAGATAAGAGCACTGACACATGCCCCGCCTGTACTACAAGAAGTGTGGTGCAGTTAGTTTGGGCTCCCTGTGAGAAGATGCACACACTTTAAATACTCTTAGTAATCAGGAAGTATAAAGAGATACTTCCTGCGAATGGATAAGCCAAGAAGAAGCTCCATAAGGTGTACAAATCCTGGTACCGCTCACCGATTTGTGCGGAAAAAGCTTGATGTCAGAAACTTTATTTAAAGTATAAGCCATATGGAAAGCCCCGAAGTACTCTATAGGGTGTCCAAAATTAGATGTCATTTATTCACTCTAATAAGGGCTAATACGGTCTAAGCATAACTCTATACTTTGAAAGCGAGGTCCAGTAATCAGTAATTCACTAAATAAGGTTGTTAAATGATACCACAGCATTTATAGGTCAGTCTGAACTTTTCCTCTCTCTGGTTTAATGCCTCAGGACGGGGTGAAATTCCTGACAAGTGATTCATAAGGGCACTTGCCCAGCAAAGAGGAGAAGGAAGAAGAAACAGTTAATATGCCATGTTCCTCTCTCCATCTTAGCTCGGTTGGGCTGTCAGTCACCTGTCTTGGCCAGAGCACGATGAGGTGGTCCTACTTCTCTGGGGGGCTCTGGGACTCCCAGGACTGCAGGGTGTTGGTATGCAGGCAAGGGGGCTGTGCACTTCTCTGACGGCCCTGCCCTTCAGCTCTCCGCCCCCATAGAAAGAAAGCATCACATCGCTGCTTTTAGGTCATTTAGTCCCAGTTGCTCATTTCTTTCTCTGACTAGTTGGGGGTCAGAGGGCCACAGGGAGATGTGGATTAGTCCTTCTGAATGAAATGCACAGGGCGCTGAAGCTTTCCCAGCTGTTTGCCTCCTGGGGTGACATTCACATAATTGTCTTCAACTAAGGAAACCTGGGGCACCACATCTTACCATGTTGCTAGCTCTGCCTCTATGTACTGATTTACCCACATTTGCTCATTGTGGAAATAAACACATAATTTCTAGGATTAAAAATAAACTAGTAACAGCAAAGCTTGGCTGTCCAGCCCAATACCAAAGGGCAATGGAAATTGTGTCCCAAGACTTTTCAACCACAGCCAGGTCAAAAGTCAGGGAGTGGGGAAGTCCTGAAAATGAGACTGGCGGAGAGACCATTGGACTCTGTGTGGGGGCACATGAACCAGAGATGTGAAACTCTCTTGACCATTTGACATCAATGCTCAGGAATAGAAACTTTGCAAAAGATTAGGTAATGATACGTGCATACCAACGGCTTCTATTTGTGCCGTAGGAAATCCAGATATAGAAATTCTTGCTTTTTTCATTGGAAAGCTAATTTCATTGCTGACAGTAAATCAAAATGTTCTATGGCCACCTAAATCATTTATAAATGACTAAAAGTTATATATCCCCAGAGAAAAGAACAAATGCTTATAAAACTCAAAGTGCGTCTTAGAATCTGGTTGTTACAAATGGAGACTGGCTCCCAGAAGGTTCTGTAAATGGACAAGGGTTGAAGCTGTGGTTGGTTCTTCCCTTATATTAAATTGAGGTCATGTAGAAATATGAAATTATAATGGCACAAAGTGCCTATTTCCCACAAGCAGTAAGTAGACTACAAATACATGAATTAATTCCTTTCTCTAATGCAAAAGTGCATCAGAGTTAAGCATTTTTATTTAATATAAGATTTTAAGATGAATCGAATTAGAACCAAAATATTTGACAAATGGTTAAATTTTCCAATTCCCCCTTATTTTAAATGAATGGAATAAGGAGTACATACTTGTGTTTTACAATTAAAACACTTTGAAATTGAATCGAAACTATTGTATTATAGTTTTTCTTATCCTGGAACAAGCAATAGTGGTATAGAGAGAAGACTGAAGAATCTGTATACAGCATCACAGTTAAGTCACTAATTCTCACCACAAGGCACCTACAGGACAGAGGGCCCATGAGACTCAAATCAATTCTATCTGAACAAAGGAGGAAATTGTCTTACGTGAAGGATCCACAGAGTTAGCTTGGATACAAATGTCACTTGAACCTTGAACAACTGTACTAGTTTTTGCAAATGAACCACTCTACCTATGGAGAAAATTAAGGTTAATCTGCAAAAGCAACGTATTCTCTGTGGCTTGGGGTGGAACCCGCTTTCATCCACAGTAGCAGGTTGTCTGGAAGGAGAACTGGACTTAAAGCCAGAAGGCCCACGTCTGAGGCCTTTCTCTTTTACTTGGCCCTTACATAAGCTTGAGTAAGCCATGGTCCTCTGTCACCTGGTTTCCCCTGGCTTTAAAATGAAGATAAGGATTCTAGCCCTGTCTACCTCAAAGGTGGGAGGTCACATGGGATAATTATGTGCAAGGTACTTCGTAAACTCAGTAATACTCTAATAAGGCAGGGCCTTGGGCCTGTCCATTGATTTGCAAGGCTCTGCTGGGAGGTCAGCCTGGGAGGTGCTGGGGGCAAGGTGGCAGGGAGGGACTCAGTAACTTCTCTCTGCAGGATGGTGACCTCATTCAAGGGGTTGGGGGGGATCTCTGTATACACACCGCAGTACAAGTGGACTCTGAAAGTTTCATGCCCTGGCTCTCTTTTTTTTGACATCTTTATTGGAGTATAATTGCTTTACAATGGTGTATTCGTTTCTGCTGTATAACAAAGTGAATCAGCTATACATATACATATATCCTCATATCTCTTCCCTCTTGCATCTCCCTCCCACCCTCCCTATCCCACCGCTGTAGGTGGTCACAAAGCACCGAGCTGATCTCCCTGAGCTATGCGGCTGCTTCCCACTAGCTATCTATTTTATATTTGGTAGTGTATATATGTCCATGCCACTCTCTCACTTCGTCCCAGCTTACCCTTCCCCCTCCCCATGTACTCAAGTCCATTCTCTACGTCTGCGTGTTTATTCCTGTCCTGCCCATAGGTTCTTCATGACCTTTTTTTTTTTATTTTTTAGATTCCATATATATGTGTTAGCATACGGTATATGTTTTTCTCTTTCTGACTTACTTCACTCTGTACGACAGACTCTAGGTCCATCCACCTCACTACAAGTAACTGCCACAGCTCTTGTAATCTGTCCTGAGAGCTGACTGAGCCCAAGATGTTTACACTCTAACTTGTGAACAGATCTACATGGCGAGCTGTAAAAATCCAACACAGGAAATCTTCTGGTCCGAGTATTGCCAGTTTGATGCCTTTATATTGGCAAATTAGGGAACTGTTTGGAAAGTTTGAGTTTTGGAGCTAATGAAGAGCTGCTTTCCCTTCCCTTTCTGTCCCCCACCTGCTAGAGAAAGCAGAGGTCATCAGACTCACTGCCTCTCTTTGTGACTGTATGTTCCTTAAATGGATGCCTTTATAAAAAAAGTTGGTTAAATTGTTTCAGTGTGTGGCAAAGACTGAGGAAATAAGCCCTGAGATTATGTTTCCATTTGAATCTCTGAGGCTTAATGAGAACAATGGCTGAAAACAAAAGAGCCTTAAACAGATTTGATGTGTTTTCCTCATTTCAGAGAATGTCTATTTGTATGTATTATTCTCTAGCCAGCAAAAGCAAGGTGCCCAGCTCATTCTTTCTTCATGGACTATGGTTTTAAAGGACAGAGACTCTCAGCTATCAAAGGAATCTAGGGATTTCTAATCATATCAAGGCCAGCAAAGTGGATGATATAAAATATCAGGAAGGGGGTGCAGTGAAGGACAGTACTTTTCTTCCTTTGTCTTATTCGGTGTGTCGATAATTCCAGGAAACTACTACTTCTTTAATCCTTCCAGATGCACTTTAAAGAGGCCATCGTTTCTATTGGACATCGTTATTCCAGATCGGAAGAAGTTTTTATTCCTCTGCTTTGTTGACACCTATACTAGGCTTCCTCAGGGTTGAAACGATTCACATCGGAGGATTTATTCTGGACATTGGCAATGTCCAATTTACATTGGGAATTATGGGGGAAACCACTTTTTGTGGTGGTTCAGCTTAGAAAGGTTACTTTCAGTTAAATGATGTAGGTTAGAAAAGTCTGAATAGGACAATGAGATGCTACCTAGCAGAATTATTCAACTAAAAATAATGTCACAGGTAAATTAAAAACCGATGACCAAATCCTGCTACATGAACATCACAGTATAATGAGCAAGGATAAAGGAAGAGGAAGTTAACATAACAAAAATATATATGGTTTATGCTGATAGTAACAATAACACATACTGACATATTCCGGTTCTACCACTCGCTAGCTTTATTACTCTGACAAGTTACTTACACTATTTGTGCCTCAGTTTTCTCATCTTTAAAATAGGGATAGTAATAGTAGCCACCTCATAAGGTTGTCATAAACATTAAATGACATAACCATTGCAAAGTGTTCAGCACAGTGTCTGAAATATTGTAAACACCCAACAAACATTAGCTGTTATAAAGTCAACAATATTTATTATTTGACTGCAAAAATAAATTTAAAAAACAAAGAATAGGAACAACAATAAATAGGTATATAGTTGCTTGCTATGTGCTGGGCATTGTCCTAAATACATATCATCATTATATTTATTAACATATTTAATCCTAATACCAATTTCATAAGGTAGCTATGCTATTATCCCCATTGTACAGACAGGGAAACCAAGGAAGGCACAGAAAGGCAAAGTAACTTACCTGTCTACGTGATGAAGCTAGAATTTGACCAGGCGATCTGCAGGTATCTCAGTGTTTCCTGAGGTGATTTAACAAACTCTTGGTTTTTATAACTTGTTTATAACATCACTGGTTTCTTTTTAAAATATGCAATGGTTATTTTATAGGAGGCATTAACTCTATAATTGATTCACTTGGATCTCTGAAAATAAAGGTATCACAAAGTGATGACATGGGGAAATTAGAGTGACATTGTGTATTATTCACTCATACATGCAAAAAAATAGTACCTAATGTGAAATGTGGACAAAACAATATACTTAAGCGTTAGAGAGTGAGATCTGGAGATTAAGGGCACTTTGATCTCTCTTTCATTTTTTTCTTACAAGGTACACACTGATAGGATGTCTGGACTCACGACCAGGAGGCCCTTTATCTCTCTTCTATTTCTGTACATCTAGCCCTGATTCTGTAACTAATGCCTGTACGAGAAAACAGAACGCCCCACTTGACATCTGAGCTCTTAAAAATCTTGTACAATTTACTCAATATTCACTTTTTATAGCTTTTTTTCCCATTCTTATTTTGTAATGATTTCCTCTACATTTTTTGATTTGTCTTCAAAGCCCAGATGCTTAAATATTGGTTGCGCTAGATCTTAATGGTTACTCCAGAGCCATGGAATTTTAAATTTGATCTTAGACTTTTAAGACGTGACAGCTTGATGATTTTACAAGGCCCAAACCCTGAATCAAGCCTGTAATTTTAAGACTCAAAACTGTTTTCCCATCGATGCAGACATTTTGAAATGTGTGGTCCATAGCTATTTACGAGTAGTTTACAGCTGTTGTCTCTTTGTGCCCAAGATCACGGAGCGTCCAAGAGGTGACCCTCCAGGGAATGCTATTAATTTCACTCTCATTTTAGACAGCGTTTCCTTCAACTAGCAATTTCCTGGCTCCCTTATACTACACTGTAGCCTCACGGCATTAAGGCATTCACAGGGCGCTTGGGCAATTTATCAATAATACAGGCTTTTAAAACAGGCAACTTTTTCAAATGCTGGTGAAACAGAAAATGACTCCTGAATAAAAAAGCAAGTACCAGAAACTGAGGGGAAAAAATTACTTAAACTAAGACCGGGGCTAGGTAACTTCTTTAGTATAAGAAGAAGGGATTATTATAATATCAATTCGGGGCACTGTGATATCTGAAACACAATGGAACAATTCCTAATGTTGTAAGGAACCAGGCGATACTCTTTAGGGTAAATTAACCAACTTTTAGTGCACATGAACATGATTTGGGAAGTGCTGTATCTGATTCCATGTTTGATAGGGTCTGACACCTCTCTTCCCAAGTGTGCATTGGAAATCCTATTCTGGCCCTTCTTTTAAGGGAAGAAGTCAATATATCAGCCTTGAAAATCCGATAAACTTAAAGTACACTGGCACACAAAATAAAATCTATTACCAGGGTGAAAAATTGAAATTTTCCCTGAAGATCTCTAGCCCTTGTCCTCCTATTGTTTATTTAGTCTTTGACTGCTTATTCTTCAACTTGCCTACATTAACATTGTATTCCTGAGTTTCCTTATCTATAAGATAGGGGTAATAACAATATCATAGGATCGTTTTAAATGTTAAGCTCATTCGTATTTGTGACCGGTTAGAATTATGTCAGGCAAAGAGAAAACACTATATAAACGTTTGATTTAAAAAAACCTCTTCCCTGCCTCTTTTCCATTCTGATAAAATAAATCCTTAATATACAAGTGCATCTGTATGTGATAGACCATATGGTATTTAAAATCATGGGACCCACTTTCTTTTTTCGTAAGAAGAAAGCATTTTGGAATTGCAAGATATGAAAAGCAGTGAGTGCCACATTGAAAAGTTAGATAAGGGCAATAAAGAATGGAAAATCCCAGCCTCTTACATACTGATTGCAGCTTTTTAGGATTATCTCTGGCCCATGTAAATTGCAAAAGCAGACATGAACTCTGACACTGTAAACCCGACTAAAATATGACTCTAAAATATGAATGTCAGCTATTATAAAAGAATCTAATGATGATAAAACCTGAGGAAATAAACATTAGAAAATAGCAGGTTATCTTCTCTTCCTTAAAAGTCCTGAAATTTAATTTCACCATACACAGTCACAGGATAAAACATCTGTTCTAATGGAAAAACAACAAAAATCCATTTCTGAAAAGCTCCACAGAGAATTTTTCACATGAGTAGATGGAAATATGGATTCCATTTTTAGATAACTACTCTTTCTTGATGTAAAAAAGCCAGTGTCCAAAAACACAAATATCACATTTGTTTCAATCCTGAAACTCTGATAAGCACAAAAAGTTGCAACATCATGCTTAATTAACTTGACGTTGATTTATGCATCCTCTCCCTTTGTAAACAGAGTGACATCCAGACACTGGGAATGCTGAAATAGAACATTTCATCCCTGCCTACGGGAGTTTACACTTTAGCCAGGAAGTCAAACACCAAACCATTAAAATATGATGTGATTAGCTCTGCGACAGAGAGAAATACAGGAGCAAGTCGAGGAGAAGCAACGAATCAGATCAGCAGTATCAGGAAAGGCTCCTTAGTAGAGGTGACATCTGAATGATGTCTTTAAGGGCCTGTAAAGATAGCCAGGGAAAGGCAGGAGGAATGGTTTGTGCAAAAGCAGAGATGGGTAGAAAAGGAACTGTAATATCTCAGACAGAATTAATCTCATCTACAGCACCTTATCATGTCATCTATATTTCTGTTAGCATGAATATTATGCATATTTTCATGGGCCTGCCTGGCTCTCTCGGCGAACAACCACCTCCTAGAAGCAGGTCGATCCATCTTTGCATGTCCCGTTTTGTCCTGCGCTTATACTTTCCCATGTAGGTTTGACAGAATTAATTACTAAATTACAGTGAGATTTCGCAAGAGTCACCTGTGAAATATATTCTTCACCAAAACACTCACTGAAAC